GCTGCTGCTGCTGCTGCGGCGGCGGCTGCTGCTGCTGCTGCTGCTCCCGCTGCAACTCCAGCCTCTCACGCTCCACCCGCTGCTGAACCTCCAACCTCTCACGCTCCAAACGCTGCTGCTCCTCACGCTCAAGACGAAGACGGGTCTGGTGTCGAGTCAGGTAGGGGTGAGGAGGAGGAGTGGTGTCAGGAGACGAAGAAGAAGAACCGGCTCCACCCTCAACAGCACCCGGCTGAGAACCCCCAGAGCGTGTACCCCCTGCGGCAGCACGACTAGTACCTGTAGGAGGTGGACCCGCACCCCCAGTCGGGGTGCCTCCAGTGGCACCAGCACCAGCCTCAGACTCTCCAGCTCCAGAAACACCACCAGCTCCAGCACCACCAGAACGGGCAGCCGCGGCGGGTGCACGCTCAGCGCCAACGCCAACACCCCCAGAACGGGCGGCTCCTGTAGGTGCACTAACAGCTCCAACGCCAGCACCCCCAGAGCGAGCACCGCCAGAGCCCTCACCCCGAGCACCAACACCCTCAGAGTCCGCAGTGGCCGGTAAAGGAAGCGCTGACGGCTGCTGCGGAGGCTGTGAGGACGACTGTGGGGAAGGAGGTGAGACCTGGGGGGGTACCGAGGGGGGGGGAGTAGCGTGGGACACACCAGACGGAGCAGGACCAGGGGGGGGTACCGGAGGAGCAGGGGCGGGAGGAGGAGGAGCTGGAGCCAGGAAGAGGGGAGGGGGGGGAACCGGGAGACCTCGACAGGGGTACCGGACGTAGTAGGGGACAGACTCGTCGAAACGGACGTCACGAGAGTCAAAGAACCGGTGGGAGGGAGGGTGGTAAAAGGTGAAGTCAGAGGAGGCCTCAGGGAAACCAAGGAAGACACAGGGGACGCCGCGAGGTGAGAGCTTGTCCGCAGAGGTGTCGCGGACAAGCGCCAAGCAGCCCCAGACACTAAACCTCGACGCAACACCAGGGGACCCTGTCCAAAGACTGGTCGGTGAAGCCCCTGGCCAAGAGACGCGAGGCCAGAGGTTCAGCTGGTGAGCGGCGTACCGAGCCGCGTAGGGCCACAGAAAATGGGGCGCGCGGGCGTGGATCATGGAGGTGCGGGCAATCTCCATGACCAGGCCTAGCCGGCGCTCAGCAACCCCATTCTGCTGTGGAGAGTCTGGAAGAGTCCAGGACTGGGTGATGCCCTGCTCAGCACAGAATCTGGCGAGAACGCCGGAGCGAAACTCACCCCCACGGTCGGAGTGGAGACAACTGACACGACGACGACGAGTACTCTCGGTGGCGAGCAGCCACCGGATCAGCGTAGAAGTCACGTCGGACTTCTTCGCCAAAGGGAACACGGTGGTGTACCGAGAGTAGTCGTCAACGACCACTAGAAAGAAGCTCTCTCGCTCAGGGCCAAGCCGGGAAGCGGGGCCCCAGACGTCTAAGTGGAGTGTCTCAAAGGGCTCGGAGGCTGGACGAAGGGAGGAGGAGTGAGGAGTGGCGCGCAGCCGACCCTGGACACAAGGACCGCACGGAGGAGCGGGGGACGGCGGGAGCGGCGGGAGGTCGCGGGGGAGGCCTAAGACAAGACGCTGACTAGACATAGCGCGGAGACGAGAGAGGGACGGGTGACCAAGGCGGTGGTGCCAGAGGAGGACAGGGTGGGACAGCGACCGACACGAGCACGACGCAGCCACTAGACCTGGCACAGCTACCTGACTGGACCTGGCTACCTGGTGGGACGGGGGAACCGGACGGGTGTCGGTGTGGAGGGTGTACAGACCAGAGCCCGACTCCTGACGAAAAGTGGCCAGAGGGGCGTACGTGTCACCGTCCACACAGACTGCAGTGTCACCAGAAGGCTCAAACCAGACCCCGACGTGCTGTCTCGCCAGAGGAGCCACACCAACCAGGTTCCTAGAGAAAGTAGGAACGTGGAGGCCGGTCAGAGAACCGGAAGGGGCAGCTGGGCACGGGAGGGTAGTGGCGTGAGTCGCAATGACCGGTCCCGAAGAGGGATCAGCCAGTGCTACAGGAACCGGCGCCGAGAGTGGAGTAAGAGTCGTGCTGTCGCGGAAGAAGCACTGCGTCGCTCCGGAGTCCAGTGTGAAGGAGAGCGACGCGTCCGCCGAGGGAGCACCTGTACTAGTAGCTAGACAGGATCCTACACCAGCACCTACTCTAGCAACAGGCAAAGATCCTACGCTAGGTACAGGCAAGTAAACAGATCCAGCAGCACTATAGTCAACATCAGCATACATCGCATAAGACCTAGCATCATCCATAGACATATCAAACACCGCAACACCACGAGCAAGGAGTGGTCCCCAGCGCGGTGGCGGGGGAGCGGAGGGGCCGTGGTGCAGGACGTACAGGTCGTCGAGACGGCTGAAGCAGCGTGCAGCAGAGTGGTCAGGGCGGCCGCAGTACGTGCCCCTGCGCGGACCCGTCAGGATCCAGTACTCACAGGGACCAACGTCGCGGCCGGCCGAGCGGGGTCCCCGACTAGAAGGGGCACCACTGCGCCCAGTGCTCGGGGGGCCCGTAGGTCTCCACTGCTGCGGGGGGCCCCACTGCTGCGAAGGACCCCACTGCTGCTGAGTGCCCCACTGCTGCTGAGTGCCCCACTGCTGGGGCTGCTGCTGAGGCGGACGCTGCTGCTGGCCCTGGCGCTGCTGCTGCTGTCCCTGCCGCTGCTGCTGTCCAGGCGGTGGCAGCTGCGGAGGAGTCTGCTGCTGCTGCTGCGGAAACCCCTCACCACCGTCTAGAGGAGAGCCGTCAGGTCCCGAGTCACCCCCGCCGCCACCCCCGCCACTAGTACTACCGCCACCGCCGCCACCCGCAACACCCCCAGAACCCCCGCCGCCCTTCCCTCCCTTCTTGCCGGACTTGCCACGTTTCTGTCCGCCAGAGACAGATTCGGCCGCCGTCTCCTCAGAGGCAGAAGACGCGGCAGTGGCAAGCGAGGCAGTGAAGGTGGGAAGCTGTGGTACCGCACACCCCTCAAAGAGACGAGGAGGAGGCGCGGAAGAGGCGGAGGCAACAGCGAGGAGGTTACTCTCGATCTTCGAGAGAGCGGTCTCAAGAAGATCGATAGTAAGCTCAGTGGGGTGCTTCAGGAGAAGCGCGTCGCGGGCTGTGGCTAGACGGTCAGGGAGGCGAGTGACTAACCAGTGAATAGTGAGCCACATGGGGGGGGGTGCAAGGGCAAGCTGTTCCTCAGTGCAAGCGGCCTTGAAGCGAGCTTCAAGGGAGCGCAGGTGGGTAGCGAGGTCAGCGACAGTCTCAAAGGAGGCGAGGTCAGGGTAGATAAAGGGGACGAGAAGGCGGCTGAGGGAGGCAGAGGAGGGAGTGGAGTAGCGAGCAACAATAGCAGTGTAAAGGGCTGCAGCAGACTCGACCTGAGTGAAGTGGACGGCCTCAGTCGGCGGGAGAAGGTCGGTCAGGGCGAGGCAGGCAGCAGCGTCACGAGACTCCCACACGTCACGAGCGAGGAACCGGCGCTGGTACTCAGCCTCCTGCTCGGAAGTAGGCGGTGGGGTAGTGGGCAGCGGTGTAGGCTGCGGCGGGGCGGGCAGAGCACCGGACGCATGCGCAAACAGGTGCACGCCATCCTGGCGCTGGCTCCTAAGGTGGCGCTGGGCCTGCGTCAGCCAGGTACTAAAGTCGATCGCGCGCCCCTCAGGGTCGAAACGGAGCACGCGAGACGTCGCCATGAGGGGCGAGAACAAGTGATAGCGGCCGCCAGCCGCGAGAGGAGGAGGAGAGGGAGCGCGCTGGTTGGCAGGCGGGCTAGCGCGCTGGTTGGCAGGCGCGCTGGCTGGCTGGCGCGCTGGCTGGCTGGCGCGCTGGCTGGCTGGCGCGCTGGCTGGCTGGCGTGCGCGCTGGCTAAGGGCGGGGAGGGGAGGGGCGCGCCGGCTGGGGCGTGGGGTAGGGCGCTGGCGGGCTGGCGGGGCGCAGTGGTAACCCTAATGGTAGGGACGGGCGGGCCTAGGGCTAGGAGCGCTAACCTACTGCTGATACCATGTCTGAATGAGAACTACAGCGGAATGTGTTGCATTGACAGAATTGGGGTACATAACCTAACCCTAACTAGTTGTACCCCATATAGCCCAACCCACTACAGGCTATAATATTTGACAGCTGTGCAGACATCTCTATGTACGATACTGGTGATGCCGCCATACTGGCAGCAAATGAACTTCTTGGAACATGTACCTTGTGGGTTGGGTACATTTCAGGTTCGTCTGGAAGATGTACAACACAGTCCTATCCTATCTAGCGTTGCAAAGTGAAACAACTAGCATGCCCCACCTACCCATCAGAATGCTGCTGCTGCTGCTGCTGCTGCCCTCTTCTCTCCACCCGCCGCCCATGTGCATGCCACAAAAAAGCTGACAAGCATCGCCCTGTACCAGCAGCTGGTCAGCAGCACTCGTGCGTTCCCATCCCACCAACCACCAGTATCCCACCCCCTTCCACCAGCCCCACCAGCCACTCCACTCTGTCCACTCCAGTCCAGAGCAGGGGAGGATCTCCCAAGGCCTGCTTCCATCTCCCCCTGGATCCCTCCTCCCTCCTCCCTGCCGCCCTGCCGCCCTGCCGCCCTGCCGCCCTGCTGCCCTGCCGCCTGCAAGCCGAGATGACATCAGTCGGCGACACTACTCTCTTCAGCTCGTCCTCCTCCCCCGTGACCCACACGCACTGCCAGCGCCATCACCACCACTCATACCCTCTCCTCCAACCACTGTTGCCCCATCCTACCGCTGTCCACCCGCCCGTCTGCAAGCCGAAATAACGTCAGTGAGCGACACCACTCCTAGCAGATAGTCATCCTCCCCCGTCACCCACACGCGGTGCACGCGGTTGGTCACTGCCAGCGCCATCACCTCCACTCATGTTTTCTCCTCCAACCAGCCACTTGCCTCCCTCCCCCCCATCGCCTCTGCAGTCCACTACCCTGTCCAACCGCTCTGTTCCCGTGAATCCCTCCTCTCTGCCTCTGCCTTACCGCTGCCCACTCGCCCGTCTACAAGCCGAGATGACATCGGTCAAAGAAACCACTCCTAGCAGCTCATCCTCCTCCCCGGTCACCCACACGCGGTGCACGCGGTTGGTCACTGCCAGCGCCATCACCTCCGCCAGAGGCGCCGCCATGCGACACGTGATGGACGGGCGGCGGCCCTCGGGGGACAGCGACGCCATGTGGGCCAGAAAGTCCCGCACCTGTGGGAGGGAGGGGGCGAAGAGAGGGAGGATTGAGGGAGTGGTGTAAGGAGCAAGTGAGAGAAAAGGAGAGGGGGGGCACGAGAAGTGGTTGTCAGCAGCTCTGGACATTCCACCGGCCAAGAAGGACATGCACCGGCCAAGAAGGACATGCACCGCCCCTCTCGCTTCATACAAGCACAGGGTCCAAGTAAACACACTATGTGAGACAGCCAAGGCATCCTGGTGTGAATGTACTTGAGCTCCACAGAATCTAATCGACAAAGAAAACACCTGCACTGCACAGGTAGGTCCAGCATTTCTCACCTTCATGAAAGTGAGCCGCAGTAGAGTCTCTGCATCCATGCCCCTCAGAACCGACACCGTGCAACAGGCACACACACACACACACACACGCACGCACGCACGCACGCACGCACGCACACACGCACGCACGCACGCACGCACACACACACCCCCCCCCTCCCACACACACACACACGCGTGCGCGCACACACACACACGCATGCACGCACGCACGCACACACGCACACACGCACACACACACACACACACGCACGCACGCACGCACGCACGCACACGCACACACGCACACGCACACACGCGCACACACACACGCACCCACACACACGCACCCACACACACGCACCCACACACACGCACCCCGCGCACCACGCGCACGCGCACACGCGCACGCACACACACACACGCACACACGCACACACGCACACACGCACACACACACACACACACACACACACACACACACACGGGGCACACAGGTGCTTCAATCGCCTTTCTCTCACCTTCATGGAAGTGAGCTGCGCTAGTGTCTCCGCGTCCATGCCCCTCAGATCCGACACTGACAGAGTCCCCAGCAGCCGCCCCCCCCTCACCCACCCCGCATCCCCCCTCTCCCTCCCCCTCCCTGCCCCAACCCCTCCTCCTCCTGCCACGTCAGCGCCAGCAGCAGCAGAAGAAGCTCCGGACCCCTCGCCCTCCTCCATGCGCTCCTCCTCCTCCGCACTCCCTGCCGCCACCGCCACCGCCCGCACACCTCCCGCGCGCTGCATGAGCCTGAGCGCGTCAGTGACTGTCATGCCCGACACTATAGCGAGGGGCGGGAAGAGCGGGTCCGCGAGGCCTAGCTGCTCCACTGTGCGCTGTGCCACGTCACCCAGGGCGTCCACGTGGAGCAGCAGGAAGGCTGCCACGTCAGTCTGCGAGACTAAGTGGTAGGTGTGCTTGGGAGCTTCTGCTGCTGTTTCTGCTCCTGTTGCCGGCCTAGCAGCATCTGCTGCTTCCGCTGCTCCTGCTTCTCCTCCTGCTGCTGCTGTTTCTGCAGTTTCTGCTGCTCCTTCTGCCGGTGTTTCCTGCGTCTCTGGTGAGCCGGGTGTGGTGTGGCCAAAGGTCATGGCAGTGGGAGGCGCGGCAGATGGGGCCGCGTGTTGGGGGGTGGAAGCAGCGGGGGCGATGGGGCAACGCACGAGCAGGCGGTGAATGCCCTTGCTTAGCGGCTCCATGGCGTCAACTAGACTGGGAGGGTGGGGAGGAGAGTAGGATGGAGAGCAGGGGAGGATGGGTTAGGGTAAAAAAAGTGCTAATTTATTTTGCGACCCAAAGAAATAAACTCTCGGGCGAGTTGGATGAGGGCGAGCACATGAGGAGATACGAGGGGCAGCAAGGTGCAGCAATGAGACTCGGGACTCGCAAGTCGCAAATCACGGGGGGACACGAGAGCATGGATGATGAGACCCGCAACTAGCAACTCACGGCGTGGAGCTGGAGGCGACCCAGAGGGAGAGTCCCTCGGGCGAGTTGCCGATGAGGCTCACCACACAAGGGGACGCGAGATGGGCAGGCATGAGACTTTCAACTGGCAACTCAATATTGCAACTCACGGGGTGGAGCTGGAGGCGACCCAGAGCGAGAGGCCCTCAGGCGAGTTGCCGATGAGGCTCACCACTCCCGCCTTGAGTGCTGCTGGGCGTGCACCTTCCCTCACTAGATGCATTGCCACGTCCGCCATGCTCACCACTCCCTGATTGGTGTGGAAGGAGCGGGAGGGAGGGAAAGAGAGCAAAGCGAGGAGTGAAGGAAGATGAACTTCACTCCCTCACTAGATGCATTGCCACGTCCGCCATGCTCACCACTCCCTGATGGGTGTGGAAGGGAAGGTGAGTTTAAGAAATGAAGGGGGAGAAGTAACGCCCTCCCTCAACACATGCATCGCCACGTCCAGCAAGCACACCACGCGCTGATAGATGGGGGAGCAGGTGCGTTTGGATGGAGGGGACGAGCGCCAGGGAAGGGGAGGTAGTGAGGAGGGGGAGCATCAAAGAGGATAATGACTCTCTCTCCCCCTCGTTGCAGGCAGGGGAACTTTTGAGTCGACTCAAAAGTCAGCGCAGGCGGGGGACGAAAGGGAAGAAAGAAGACGGGAAGCTTTGCTGCTCACCCGTAGACCCATCACAACGCACTTGCTAGTTAGAAAAGCACAGCCCTGTGTGTATCTTCCACCATCAATTCCCGTGAAGTATGTTTAACCAGCGATTACCAGCTGAAAATGCTACCAGCTCAAGTCGCTGCAGCTACCAGATCTGAACGGTAACAACTCAGCGGTACGAGCTCACAGCGGCGCTACGAGCTCACAATGTACCATCTCACCCTGTGACTCGTTTTAAGCTACGGCCATGAGCTCACAATGTACTGCTTCTCCCCGTCCACGATGTTCGCCCCGCCCGCCCCCAGCCACTTCCCCGGCGGTGCCGCCACTGGCAGCGCCACTATGCCGCTCGCGTTCATCAGCTGTGGAGAGAAAGAGGGGGAGAGGGGGAGGAGAGTGGAGAGGGGGAGAGGGAAAGGTGGGTGAAGAAAAGGAAAGGGGAAGGAGGGGGGCAGAGAGTAGGGGGAGGAGGGGGACATGGGGAGATGGCGAGGCGGAAGAAAATGTGGGGCAAGGACGGGGGAGTGATGCAATGAAAAGGCATGTGCGCCGGGGGAGAGACGGGGGGAGGAAAAAGCAAGTTGAGAATCGGTAAGTGTAGACATGAACCGAGAATGAATACACGCTCGTCGTTATAAGCAGGTCCGTCGTAGGCAAGTAGCCGTTACCTCGAGAGCGTCCAGAACAGTAGCGGTGTCGGGCACCGATATAATCTCCCTCTTTTCTGGCACAAGCGCGCCGATCTCCGTTCGCTCGAGCAGGCTCGCCATGGCACCGAAGTGCGACAATAGCGAGAAGGTATCCTTTCGACTCGAACTGACCGGAACGCCTGAGGCTAGCGAGTCACTACTAGTGTCGTCAGAGCTAGCGGTAAAGCGGTGAGGACGAAGAAAGCGGCGATTAAGGCGGTCGCGAGAGGGAGAGAGCTTATGAGATGATATTATTCGCGTTCGGGGAATCAGTCCTGTGGAGTGGAAGGAAGCGCGCGGTACAAGATGATTGCGCACGCACACGCCACTTGCTTCGAGAGCTATCGTGCTCTTGTCGTACTGTAATGCGAAAGTTTGGAGCGAAACAAAATGTCAATAAGTAGCCGATTCGTGAAGGCCGAGAAACTATGGAGAGATGCTGCGCTTCGGGAGGAGCCGGATATTTGGCTCATTCGGATTCTAAAATGTTGGTCTGATATTACCGAATTTCTGCTCTGCATGAGCTGGAACTCAAATGTGCTTATATAAAAGGGTTTTTAGTTTCCCCGGAAGGCTTACTGTAGCTGTCCTTCTTTCAAGGGACTTTCATCTCAGCTTGCGCACACTTTCCGCTGATCCGCTTCTGAGGCGGAAGAGTTATTGTGCTAACACAGAACTCGGCTTCTCCGCACGTCACGCAAGCACTGTTTTCATCGGGTGTCTTCTGCCAGCAAGCACAAAACTAAACCCCTCTCGGGTGGCAAGTTTTCGAGGGCATCAACCCTAAACTCCACGCGATTAGGTGTTTAGGATTGATGCCCTTTATTTACATGCCAACCAAGAGGGATTATTTTTGGCATCAACCCTAAACACTTAGTCGCAGTGTTTAGGGTTGATGCCCCCTATCACTTGCCAGCCGAGAGGGATTTAGTTTAGTGCGGATTAGAGAGGAAAAAAAAACAAATTCTGTTGTGCATCGTTTGCCTGACTAGTAGCAGCTAAGGCCTTACGAGATGATGACACGTGGGTAAACGTGGAGCCGAGTTCTGTCCCAGCGCAATAAGTCTTCTGTCTGGGCGTCGAAACCTGGGAAACTCTGTGCAGGTAGAGATGAAGCTCCCTAGAAAGCGCAGGTTCGGAAGTACCCCTTCCGCAATAACTAAAAACCCTATATAAAAAGGAAGGAAATGCGCTGGTGCAATGCCAACAGTGGCCATGTCATTAGGTGCTGTGCATGGAAACCGATGACACGAGGGCGTCACGTGGAGTCGAGTCACGTGGCACAGGAAAATGGGACAAAGAGAACATTCGTACACTCGTTACAGTACACTCGTTTCTGTTTTATTTTAAGAGAACATTTATATTAAGTAATGCTTATGAGACAAAGTGTACCACATCTTCTCGTTATAGGGTACAAACTCTCAAACGCTGTCCTCCATCCACTCGACTCTACGGATTTCACGCTCTTGTTCTGCGAGTTCGTTTTAGTTTCGATCCATACCTTAGCTCTCTAAATGTTGGTCTTTCCAGAAAGCCTTTCCAGACAGTCCGCAGCTTCCCGACCGTTCTTTGGCAAGCCGTCCAATCCATGACGAGCCGCTCTTCCTCGCGGCAGGCGGAGTAAGCAATAACGCATCAGAGGCCGGACGCCGGACGCTCCCAGAGTAGCGACATTCGCGACCAGTTCGTAACCCGGCCGCAATTCTTCGGAATGCGATGCGACTGCTGCTGCGAGCGCGATGCGGTGCCTGGCGGCATTCGCGGCGGCATTCGCGCCGGCGATGGCTTCTCGGCGTCGCGATGCTGCTGCTGATGGGGATGAACCCGCAGGTGCTCTTTCAGAGATTGTCGCAACGGAACGAGTGCTGTCAGAGCTTTGCTGTCAGAGCCGTGCTCTCACTTCCTCTCATGCACATTCGCTACTCCCCTTATCTCCTTTCTCTCCTCCCTCCTCCTCCTCCCTCCCCCCCCCCCCCCCCCCCCCTCTCCTCTCCCTCTCTTTCCTTCTCCCCCTCCTCTTCCCACAAACTCCTGCAGCGCACCGCTCCCATCCCCCCCACGGCGCTGCTGCCCCTGCTGGACCCCGCCTTCCCCGCGCACCTCTGCGGCGCCTGGCACAGCGACTATGCCGCCCTGCACGCGCGCATCCGCGCTGCCAGCGCTGCTCAATACGCCGCCACCACCGCCGCTTCTGTCAGTGCTGCTCCACACGCTGCTGTGGGTTCAGCTGCTGCAGCGGCAGGAGAAGCAGGAGAGACAGGAGGAACAGCAGCAGCAGTACAACCACCTGACATCCCCACCACCCTCCACCAACTCCTCCTCTCCCCCCACCACCATCCCTCTCCCCGTCCGCTTTCTCACTTACGATTGGCTCGACCAATGCGGGGGCCTCGGTGACTCACTCGTGGGCCTTGCCACGTCATTCGCCGTCGCGCTATTGGACGATCGCGCCTTCCTTATCCGCCACGCGTGCCTGCCCTGGGCCTTCCAACCCGCCCTCGTGGATTGGACTCTCTCCTCTGATGTTCCCCTCTCCCCTGCCCGCGCCATCCTGCGCGATAAGCTATCGGAGAAGAAGCAGTGGGAGGAGTGGCAGGGGGAGGTACAACCGGGGGAGGTGCTACTGCTGGATCTGTTGAATCGGAACGTGAACCCTGATTGGTTCTTTCTGGGCGGCAAGGGGGGAGGGAAAGCCGGCGGCAAAACGGGCGGCTTGTCTCGGAATGCAGTGAACGTGCGGGTGAGGTGGAATCGGGGCATGCTGACGAGGAAGCTGGCGGGGCCGTGGACGGCCGGCAGGGCTCGGCGGTTATACGACATGGGCTTGCGGTTACCCTATGCATTCGGCTGCATTCTCAGGTTCCTCTTCAAGTAAGCAGTGGCGAGTGTTTTGTCGATGCATGCAATGGCGTGTAAATTCATTTCATTTCTCTTGTGATATGAGTGGAAAGACAAGGTGTGGGGGGGAGTGGATGATGGAGCGCTTCTCTATTTCTGCCTCAGAATTCTGCATCAACCAATTTCTCCTTGAGCCATGTGGAGTCAATATAGTCTGTACTTTATGTTCGTTTCATTCCAGACCAAACCCAGAGGTATGGACACGAGTGCAGGCGGTGCAGCAGCAGCTGGTGGCAGGCTTGGCAGCAGGTTCGGATGCCGGACCTCTGGTCACCATCGGCTTGCACATCCGGGTTCCAGATGCTGACGTGGCATGGCAGGAGCATGCAACGCAGAAGACACAAGGGGAGGAGGGTGGCGATGCAGCAGGGACTGCAACAGTGGAGGAGGTGGCAACAGAGAACGTGACTACAGCGAACTTGACCATGGCAAATGCCCTAATGGCCGCTGAGGAGCAGGCGGCATGGATTAAGGCCGTGTGGAAGTGGCTAGCGTGTGCCGAGGTGCGGTGAGGTACGATGGCGGGGAGGACGGGAGGATGGGGGTCGGGAGGGAAGGGGAGAGGGCTAGAGGGAAGGGGAGAGGGCTAGAGGGAAGGGGAGAGGGCTAGAGGGAAGGGGAGAGGGCTAGAGGGAAGGGGAGAGGGCTAGAGGGAAGGGGAGAGGGCTAGAGGGAAGGGGAGAGGGCTAGAGGGAAGGGAAAAGGGGAGGAGGAAAGGGGAAGAGGGAGGTGAGAAATGGGACAGGAGGGAGAGAGGTGGGATTACAAGCAGAATCCTCTACTTTCACCACGTGTTCTGACCTTCCTTCCCCACTCCTCTCCCTCGCTCCTCCACTGTCCCTCTCCTCCTAACCCTCTCTCTTGTACCATCCCTCCCTTTCGCCCCAGCCGTCCCTCTCCCCCCCGCCCGGCCCGTCCCTCCCTCTGCGCTTCTGGCTCCCGCCGTCCCTCTCCGTGCGATGGCGTTTGAGACTATACGCTTCTGAGATGCTTCGAAATGCGCACCCATCCCTCCCTCCCGCCCCATCCATCCCTCCCTCCCGCCCCATCCATCCCTCCCTCCCGCCCCATCCATCCCTCCCTCCCGCCCCATCCATCCCTCCCTCCCGCCCCATCCATCCCTCCCTCCCGCCCCATCCTTACCTCCCTCCCGCCCCATCCTTACCTCCCATCCTCCCCACCTCTTCATCAGGCAGTGGAGAGCTTCTGGCTGCCGCCCTCCCTCTCTGTGCGATGGCTGCTCGTCACCAACTCTGCCCGGCTTAAACTGGCACTCAAGGGGAAATACCCCCACAAGGTCTGGAGATACTTTTCGTCAGCCTCTCAAATATGAACTCACTGCATTCTTCTTTCCAACACATGATGCATCTCGGTTACTGCGTCCCTGCCTCCGCATTCCCTCGCAACTCTCCTTCTGCCTCTACATCCAAGTTTTTTCGCTTGCCTTACGTGACCCTCCTTGGTTCTCCTCCTCTCTACGCTCCAGGTGGTAACATCAAGCATCATGCCACGTCACTCCAACCTGCTCCATACAAGCCAACCTGATTCCGTTACAGTCAGAAAACTCAGAGACCTGCCAGCAGGCTCACCGTCTACATCCGTCCGTACGTCGCCCGCACGCAATAAAGAATCTGAGCCGTTGATTGATCATGGGCTCTCACCTCTTGGGCGCACCTCAGTGACAGCAGGAAGAAAGCTGACCGAGAACAAGACAGAACCGGCATCAGTCACGGGAACTGTACTGGAAGGAGCAGCAGCAGGGGCAGTAGCAGCATCTGCAGCAACAGGAGGTAGCGAGGCAGAGGGCAGGGAGGCGTTTTTAGACATAGTAGCAGACTGGCTGGTGCTGGCGGGGAGCAACGCCCACGTGCTCTCCCAGTCGGGTTTCTCTGCTTCTGCTGCCTTCTACTCGCTCCACCCCACCGCTGCCTTCCTGCCTGATAAGTGTGCCCCAGAGACCCCCCTGCATGCTGATGCACTTGGGAGGCTGAGAAGCGGTGTGTGATCAAGTAAAGTGTGGTAGTGTAACAGTGACAGAACACCGTACCAGTGTACCGTAGTTGGAGTGGCTTGAGACGTGCTCTCCCAGTCGGGTTTCTCTGCCTCGGCTGCCTTCAACTCGCTCCACCCCACCGCTGCCTTCCTGCCTGATAGGTGTGCCGGAGAGCCCTCTGCATGCTGAC